AGAGAATGAGGCTGAGCTGCAAACGTGGTATGCAGATCGCTGTGTACTCTGCCATGTTTGGCCGAACTCAGCAGGGCACGCTGGAGTGTCCCCTGCACCACAGGAGGGCCCTGTCAGTAGGTGAGACATGTTCTTACTCTCACATTATAGGTAGCAAGGCTGTTGGGTGGCTAAGGAAACCACATTGCTTAAAAAAAAAAAAAAAGAAGCTCTCTGACGTGTCATTTTGTCGATCATCCTCTGGACAGGTAAACTGAAGTGCTAATACTGTAGTATTAACATCAGTGAGTGCGGTTATTTTCCTTTGCTTTATTCACAGTGTTAGGTTTGGGGTCAGTCTGAGGTCAGCAGAGAAATTCAATTATTTGCATGACGATACAAGCTGGGAATGCAAATCAGCCCTGCTAGGGTTTGCATGATGTAAAATGACTTTCCTTGTACTGCTAATGACTTGGGAGAGTGGGACTTCAGGTCACTTCGGGGTTTTGATTTCTTCTCTTTGCAAAGACATTTGTCTGAGCAAAACGTGCTGTACCAGACATTATGCATCATTTAACACTTTTATTGATGACTTAAACATACAGTACCTCGAGGCTCAAAAATTTCTTTTGACTTCAGTGATATTGCCTTGAGATTCTTCTGTGGTTTGGTGGACTTTATAAATTTCCTCTGCAGCTTCTTTACCCCAGAGGTTCTATGATTCAAGCATATTTACCTCTTTTAACCTGTTGTTAATAGTTTAACTTTTAGAAAAATATCACCATTTGGCATTTTTTATCTTCTTCTGAAATTCTTGTGAGATATAAAACCACCTTTACAGCTCAGGTCAACACACAGAAACGCACACATTGCCAGGGGAATTGTGGTGGAATGTAGATCAGATGTCTTTGTCATCAGAAGCGCAGTTTGGCTCGTTGAAAAGGGACAGTATTATGTTCCTTCCAAGTTTGTTGTGCGTGTGTGTGTGTCTGTGTCTGTGTGTGTACAGTATGTGTGAGTGCATGGGATGACCAGATGTACCCTAACCCTTGTTTAGGGGAATGTTAATGACTTTTGGATCCATGACAAGTAGTATAACCATAGCTACCATACTGGTGGCCCTGGCCTCTTTGTTTGGCAGCGTATTAACTTCACTTCGTTTCTTTCGTTAATGTATCAAAGGAAACAGCACTGAGATTTTAGCTTGTAAATAAGTATCCCCAGAAGGTGTAGGTTAACTGGTGTGTGTCTTCATGAGGGTGTGCTAGAAAGAGCTTGTACAAAATTGTGAAGGAAGGCTAAATGTCATTTGTCATATGATTCACAAGTCAAACAATGGACTATGGATATGCCCTCAAGTGTGTTTTTGTGCACCTGGGTGTTTGTGTGTGTTGCCTTCTTTATGACAGAGGTGATGGGATGAGGTCAAAAGGCTGACACAGGCATCAGTCACCAGGTAATCAGAGACGTTATATATTAAAAATGACATTGTGTGAGTATGTATGCATCTATGTGTGTCTGTATAAGAACTGTGGGCTGCTTGGATGCAACCTCAGGTGGTCCAGGAAGGTAGAACAAGCACTTGTAGCAAGTGAGGAAGGGCTGGTCTGATATCTGGTTTCTAAGTCAGGATTAAACACAGTAGCCAAGTTCTCTCCGCATTGATGAAAAATTGATTCTTTTGTTACAGCTGTGCAAAGGCCAAAAGAGAGCAGAGGAGATGTGGTGTTCACAGTCAGATCACTTTAACCTTGTGTATGGTTGACTCGCGAACATGCGCCCTGTTGTTACTGTCCACCAATTATACATCATGCTTTTCTGTCTCTTAATTACATAGACATACATGTGTACACACACACACTCCAGCCACCCACAAACACCTACTGGGGCTGTTCCAGGCTGTCTAATGGTGCCCTACTGGGATTTCCCCTGTCAGCTCTGTCTTTGATGTGGCTCCCATGTCACCAGGAGCAGGAAGCCTATATGTTTTGAGTGACAGGTCTGTTACACACTGTTAATTATTTTTAATTGCTTTCCCCTTCTTTTTGCTCTCCTGTCCATGATGGTATGGTATGGTTTGTGTGTGTGTGTGTGTGTGTGTGTGTGTGTTGGGTTGAAGAAGAATCTGAATAGTCCCTGAATGCCTCCGACTTGAGAAATAATTTCCTGTCATCCTATAAGCACAGCTGAAGAAATATCTATGTGTATGTATATACATTTTGTGCATGTATTTATCTGTGGAGGGGTGTTTTGTGGGTTCTGGAAAAAACTTGACATATTAAGTTATATTTTAATCCTCTATTACAGTAAAATCTAATCCTACTGAAGTGACTAGATCATTTACAGTAAATGTGTGCAGAAGAGAGTGGTCTCAAATTCATTATTGGCATTCCCAGAAAACATTTGGGCATGTGCAGGACCTGAAAGTAAGTCACGTTTCTATTATACAAGGACTTTTAATCTCATAACAATGACTTCAGTCTCCATATCAAATGATAACATATTACAGGTGAGTCACAGTAGAAGGGGAGATGAGTATTTTTGACAGGTTTGTCCGCCCATTGTTTTGGAAATTCCAGGAAAGGTGTGCGTGGGTGGAAAACCTGGAGGACTGTTATGGAGCGTTGCTGTGAGAATCTTCTGGGAAACATTACTGTGGATGTGTGTGTTTGTGTAGGTTGGATGGGATTGTGTATCTGGATGTGTATGTGCTCAGAGATGTTCTTATGTTGGAGGTAAACACACAAGTGCTGTCCTGTACTGTAGATTAGTTTGACAGTCATATACCACAGTATATTCTCTCCTCAGTTAGTTTTAATACTGCCAACACACTAGAGGTACTCTTTGATATATTATTCTAAGTGAGAAAACTCTCAAGTTCAATGTAAACACACAGTCCAAGGCTGATGCTGGTTCAACCAAGCAAAATGCTGACGGATCACGAATTTGACAGAAGGTGCTGAGCCACATAGAGGAGCTGCTGGTACAGGGCAGCATATCAACACACACTTCAAACACATCCTGCACAGAGAAACAAACACACAGTGGTACTGAGACTGGCAATAGGAGTGGTTGATCAACTCTAGGTTATTATAAAAGAACATATGTACATCTCCTAAGTTTTCTTATTTGTGGCTCTGCGTACGTGACCTCTGCTGTATCTCTGTTTCCTCACTGTGATCAGTTGTGTGAGAATAAGTGCTTGTGCTTGTTGAGGAAACTCCACCCCTTCCTCGTATACTGCTTCTCTTGACTGTGGACCTTCTTGTCTAAACTACAGACCTGCCCTTGTTGGTTGTGGAGGATAGAGGGGTTGGTGCGCAGGCTTGTAGGTGGTTGAGGGTAAAGGTTAGAGGTAACGGGGTTATTCATGCCTGTTCCCCTGTGTGTGTGTGTGTGTGTGTGTGTGTGTGTGTGAACGTGAGAGG